GTTTAGGGTTTAGGGTTTAGGGCTTAGGGTTTAGGGTTTAGGGTTTAGGGTTTAGGGTTCTTGCGGTTGGTTCCGGGAGGTTCTGACGCAAACCTAAGCCTAAATAAACGTCCTAAGAACCTTTCGCCGTAAACCCTGGCCACTTCACCAGGCATCAGAAAACTGGGCGTTGTCGACGTTGTCGACAACCCCTGCAAAAAGTACTTACAAACACCCCGCAGATTAAAAAAAAAAAACAAGCCTACTTCCTCAACCCTAAACCCTAAACCCTAAACCCTAAACCCTAAACCCTAAACCCTAAACCCTAAACCCTAAACCCTAGACCCAAGAGTAACCATGGTTTGAAGGGGTTTTATAAGGAAGCCTCAGCCCCGACAAAAGCGAATAAGGGCCCGACTCGGGGTCCCTCAACCCTAAACCCTAAACCCTAAACCCTAACCCTAAACCCTAAACCCTAAACCCTAAACCCTAAACCCTAAACCCTCAACCCTCAACCCTAAACCCTAAACCCTAAACCCTAAAACCCTAAACCCTACACCCTAAAACCCTAAACCCTCAACCTTATTCCCTAAACCCGACCGGCGGCTTCTGGCGTAGGCTCCCTTTGGTGCCAGGTTCGGATCGAACCACACAGGCTGAAATCGCAGAAGCTGTAAAACTATTTGACTATTTGCTTCAGAACCCCCCCCCCCAAAAAAAAAAAAAAAACAAATCATCCCTATATTCCCCTTGTAGGACGATGTTTTTCTATTTGTGGGGTGGGGTTCTTAAGCAAATAGTAGTGTAGGGTGATATGGGCCACCGACCCTCGTCTCAGCTTCTTTGGCCAGGCTGCATTCTCGCCCACTTCCTGTGTCCTGGGCGAGCTCGACCATTTTCAGGTTCATGGTACTTTTAACCCAGTTATAACTGTACTTATACCCACTCATAAGCTCCTCAAGTGCCCCAACATGGCTATGACTAGGTTACAAGTACAGTTATAATTGGGTTAAAAAGGCACCATGAACCTCCAAGAAAGCCCACTGCCACCCGCCAACCCCCAAGCCCGAAGCCCGAAGCCCGAAACCCTAAACCCTAAACCCTAAGCCCTAAGCCCTAAGCCCTAAGCCCTAAACCCTAAACAACAAGACTGGAACTGAGGCCAGCGCAGCATACCCTTAACCCTGCCACTACGCTTGGGAGGAAGGCCCATGGCCTACGTGGAGCTTCACAGGTTCCCCCTTCTCATTTCAAGTAGGGTTCAGGGTTTAGGGTTTAGGGTTTAGGGCTAGGGTTTAGCGTGTAGGGTTTAGGGTTTAGGGTTACTCGAGTTCTCATGGCTTCTGAATTTAATTGGGATACTTAAAGCCCTACTGTTGTAAATGCTCGTGAACCTCCATGCAGAGGCTCCTTTTATCATGCGCTTATGCAACCAGGTACTCAGGCACCGAACACAAAAAAAACGGGTTCAGGGAACCTAGTTCCATAATGGCGCTCAAACCTGAACCCTCGGGCGCGGGGGCAGGGAGTACTTGAATGCGTAGTTGTCAATCGAGGGGGTGGGGGGTGGTTGGGGGGTGGTTGTGCGGGGTGGTGGGGGTGGGGGGGGGTGGGGGGGTGGGGGGAACTGAGGGGCTCAAGGTTAATCTTTGGCATCATAGATGGAGTGTGTTGCGCAAAACGGATTAACCGGCCATATGTAAAACTGAGGCAACTTTCCAACTTACAAACTCAAAGTGTAGGAGCCCACACCAGGGAAACATAGGCACGAGTCTTACACGAAAATCAGGGTTCAAAAAACAAATTAGGGTTTATATAGGGTTTAGGGTTTAGGGCTCTAGGGTTCATGGCCCTAGAGCACAGTCCATGTTCATGATGCTCTTGCCCCTGATGCCTCAAGCTGTCCCCTACTCCCATTGACATGGCCCGGATCTTTTCCAAGAGGGCTTAGGGTTTAGGGTTCTAGAAATGTTAGCCCCCGAAAGAGTCCGCAAAGGGGGCGCATGCTCAGAGGGGTCCAAAGGTCGAATTTCCTTAAGTTCATGGTTTAGGGTTTAGGGTTTGGGGTCATGCTTTTGCAGTGAGGTATCTGAACATTCGGGTTGAAGGGATCTTTGTAAGGGAGAATCGGCTAGTGTAGGCATCGGGATAAACACAAATAGTCTTCCCTTATGGCCCCTATATAGTTATGCTAAAATGACACCCCAAAAACGTATTCTAATTATTGAGGCCCCTATATGATATTTTGGGGGTATGCCGGGGATGCCCTAAATGCTCCTTCCAGCTTGGCCCTCCGCACGTCTAAGGTATGTGAGGGGGGGGAGGCAAGCATGGTGCTCTGATACTTCAAGGTCAGTTAAGCCTTGCAGGTCGTAGCATGCAGGGAGGGAACGCCCTAAGCCCTAAATCCGTGCCTGCTTTGCAAAGGACTTGTTGCAAGCCCATGAGGCTCATTAGACTTCAGGTGCAGGTCCATTATCCGAGTTTTTGGGTTCATCTATCAACCCCACGAGGCCCTCGCTAGGTTCGTAGTTGACGTTCTTTGCTTAACGAGATTGATAGTCGGGGAGCAGAACCCCAAAAAACACATCAGCATGGATTTTGGGTTGAGGGTGTTTAGGGTTAACATAACACTAAAGGCACTGAGTCACTACGGACCTACTTGTCGCTGTTCTTGCTCCTTGCAGTTGCGGCACGCTTTGTCGCCAAGGGCCATCCTGGGCAGTTGAGAACCCGATTATACTACTATAATCCCTAAACCCTAAACTTAGGCCCTAATTCCTAAACCCTAAACCCCAAATCCTAAACCCTAAATCCTAAACCCTAAATGGGCCATGACCTTGCCTTTCACCCAGACCTCGCGCCCACCCAGTATGGATGCTGAGAGGCGCGCGACGCCATCGAAGTCCACTCAGCGCCGTCCCCAGCGCGACGATATCCAGTTCTGGCCATAGGGTTAGGGGTTTTGGGCTTACAAAGCTCCCCTTAGCACCTATCAACAAAAATATGCTCTTAATATTTTCTGGGGCTTTGTGTAAACAAAGATACACATAACTCCTGAAGGGGACTATAGTTTAGGGTTCACACACTGAGGAAAGGTGCTGAGTTGCAGATAATGGAAGTCAGCTTTCAACGACTCTGACTTTCACAGGGCTCCCACTCGTGCTCATGCACAGACTGAGGACGTTGAAGCTATCTCTCAATGTAGTATGAAAGGCGAGGATGTTGAAGCCATTCCAGAACCCTAAACCCTAAACCCCAATGCCTCAAACCTGAACCCTAAACCATAAGCCAGCAAAGATTAGACCACCGAGTGTCCCAACTGCAGGAGTCGATTCGATCGCAGCGCCTTCCAGGGAACTCCGACCCCCTTTAACCCCATAAATCCTGAATGCTATCCCCAGGTTATGTGTACACAAAAAAAATTTAGATAGAGATCGATACACAGATACATGCCTACCTACATATCGCCGGGAGTCCAACTCAGCCTCCCTTCCAAACTCATATGCAATGCCTTGAGCGACACTGCGAAACCATCATAAACCTCAGCACATGCACATCTAACCAGCTTTGGAGTCAAGCCAGTTAGACCACAGAGTGCTGATGCTCCGTATGCCGCCGAACCAAGGCTTCATCAAAGATCATGGCGTTCCACGATTAACTCAGGCAGGCGAGTCCAAGTGTTGCTGGGGCTCTTCGATTTTCCGGCGCTGCTGCCAGCAATTCGGACCCTGTATATACATAATGTATACACAAAATAAACAAGTCTGTATGTAATTCTGAGGGGGGGTGAGAAGTGGGAATATAATGTACATAAACTATATGAATATGATTATACATATATATATATATCACCTACGAGACCCGCGACCTCCGCTGCCAGAGCCCATGTCGCAGCTGCGGCCGCCGCCACCCTGGCGTTGCCTGCAGGGTTCAGGGTTTAAGGCATAGGGTTTAGGGTTTAGGGTTTGGGGTTTAGGGTTTAGGGTTTAGGGTTTGGGGATGAAGGAGCGGGGGCTTTGGGCTTTGGGGTATTTAGTCAGGGCTTAGGGGGTCCCGAGGCTCCGAGGTCGGCACTGCAGGCAGCCTCAAGGTCCTACTGCGTTCGCAGAAACGCCCGAGGTTTCTATCAAGTCAAGCCTCAAAAATGAGATTCCATCAAGTCCAGCCTCAAAAAAAACCCACGGCCTAAAAATCTAATCCCAAATCACAATGGTTCAAGGCCTGGATCACAGGTAGAGCAAGTATGTGCAAAACGGGGGTAGATCTTGGAAGTCAGGCTCCATTTATGGGGGTCTTTTCAACGGTTGACCACAGCCAACTCATATCCAAGCTACCTAACATATTGTGCCTGTTTCATACCATCTACCATACTTACTACCATACTTAATGGAGAAACCCTAATTAGACCCGAAACCCTTAAACCTTAACCCTAATTTGGAGCAACGCCTACATGCACATGTCCGCGCCCAAAGCGTGGCCTGCTGTGAGGCTTATCTGTAGGCCGAGGACTTCCAATGCCTTCCGCCACTGCTGCTTACCCATGTGCGGATCCTGTGCTATCCCCAAGCTACCCCTGGCCCAAGGAACCTACACTTGAAATCCTCTTTTGAAGTAGGCGGTCGAGGTAAGGTTCGGGAGGTCTAGGAGATTACGCTACCGCCCCAAAAACATCGAAGGGTTGCGGCGCTTCGCACACATTGACTCTTTCTGGGGGAGGAAGTTAGGATGGGTTTTCTGGCGGAAGTTAGGATGGGGTTGTGCGCATGCAAGCCATCGAGTGTGTCCACTTTTGTCAGTCAGGCAAGAAGACGAAACAGCTGCTGCGGCGGCCACCCACTGTGTACAAAGGCAGAAACGGCGCAGTTCGCTGGGTTTCTTGATCTCGGAATGCAAGATGAAGGAAAGGATTGAGGCATTAGCGCAGCGTGAGCCTTCATCACACATGTGCAGTATTGATTCATGCCAGAGTGGAAGAACCAACGTAGAAGCAAGACGCCGTATTTGCTTCTGAAGTACATTCACAAGACACCAACGCGTGCGCTTGTTCGGGGTGAGACTTGTGAAACCTCGACTTCGATCTCACCTTGCGGACGCCGCTGCCGCTTTCGCTTCACGATTCTTTTGGCGGCCCTGGGTTTCTTCGGAGATGTATTGGCAGTTTCAGGTTTCGAACTGTTTTTTGGATTTGCCAAGTTCTGAAGGTCTTCAAAAGAACCATAGGCAACCCCTTCAGGATCCGCCTCCGGCGATTGCGCACCCTGGACAATGCTCTCAGGAAGGCTGGGGAGGCTGGTTGAATCTGGTAAGGCTTCTATGCGTTTAAGTTCCGTAAACGTCCACATCATGTCCCCACTCGTAATTTGGTGCATGCACATGTGGCAAAGCCGAAGCATGCATCCATCACTAGTGCACAGCCAGACCATGGGCTCTGGGATCATGTGCTCAGGAAGAAGCAGGGGCGATGTGCAGAGACTGCATGGAGTGCGCTGTGCAAGCAGTGATGTATCTGGCAAGCGCTCACTTTCTAGTTCGCCTTGGCAGGTGGGGCAAGGCAAGCTCCCAGCTGTTAGTGCTGCTTCCCTGCACGAGCGGATGGAAACATTGTTTCGTTTGCCATAGATCTTGATGTCCTTTGAGAAGACATATCGCCTGCCAACTCGATTCAGCAAGCGGCGGCGTGCATAAAAGGTTTTCTCCGCATGTTGATATTGCTTCTCATACTTGGCACTAAACAAGCCAACAGTGTGCCACCACCAAGTTGTCCCCAGGATGGATGCCACTGCCTCGGCCTTGTCGTTGAAGTGGAAACCGGTAGCATAGTACTCAGGTTGCAAAGCCCACACTTTCAACAGCGTCCCTGGACAGATACCCAGAGTCGCTGTCCATCCTCCCCCGCCATGGCCACGACATTTTCGAACGGCTCCGGCAATAGACGCTGCAACAACTGCAGTTGCAATGACAACTAGCAGGCCAGCCATGTTCTGATCCAATGATGAGAAAACGTGAAGTGTGAGGTCAGACATGTCATACCCTTGCACGTCCCAAAGCAGAACTCGCTCCATATCACAGAGGCGCAGGTTAGCAGTGTGTGCCCTTGTGGACGAAGCGAACACCCACCTCGACAACGAATGCACTAGTAGAGGTATCAGCCACAGCGTGCTTATCGAGACTATGACGAAGCACACGCCCTTCCACGGCCTTTTGGGCTTGCAGCATATTCTGTATATGTTGTCAAATGAAGAGTGGCACAAGCAGAAGAGTAGAACTGCCACAAAATCAGGTGGCGTCATGGCAAGATAGAATATGACAATTCCCTGTGCAGCGAACCCGGTGAAACCCCCGGCCATGACTGAGACTTCTCGAAAGAAGTTGTTGACTGCTGACATCGAAATAACAACCCGGGAGTACATCACAATGGTTGTGAAAAGCCGAGTCGGATAGGCTGCAAGCAAGACAGCATCGGAGAAACTGTATGTGTCCACCTGAAACCAAAACAGCCGGTTGCTGCGGTAGGCATGCTGCAGTGATTGGACACTTGTGCTGAAAAGCTGCAACATGAAAAGGGCATGTGCCAGCTGCACGTTCAAAACTAGCTTCTGACGTGCTCTCACCGCCAACCTCATGTATGCGAACACTTTGTGCATTGACTGCACAGACTGCTCGTCAAGGTTTTGACCTGTTTGTGACTTCCATGCTTCCTTGCACTGTGTGTGGCTGCACTCGCCGCACTGGTCGACATCATCATAGATGTACTTGTCCAATGCAGTTGGTTGAAGAAGCGCGCCCGGCCGAAACAAGTCAACAGCACGAACAATTGCCTCTCTGCATGCATCCCAATCTCGCAAAGTGAGGCCCTCAATTCCGAGGTTTTGAGCCTCGCCATTCTCCCACACCGAGCGATTCGGGATTGGAAACTTGGGCGCAAGGGCAATGCTAAAGCCCAACGCTGCGACCTGTGAGAGCATAAGGCACCCTGTCAGACCGGTTAAGGTTTCCCAGAAGCCTCCGTCATAGTGCACAATTGAAGGAGCAGTGACATCGAAAGCATCACCGGAACGCAAATCACATGACTCGTCGTAAGCGAAGGTGCGGAAATCTAACACAGCAGCGTGTACAATGTAAGTGCCCCATCCACCGAGCGCCATGAATACCAGGCCTCCCACAGCAAACGGGCTCAAAGTCACCAGGGTGCCAACTGCCACCAAAGTTAGCTCCACCAGGTTCAATAGGAATTGGCATGCCATGGCGCTACCAACGAGGCCACCTAAGCCAACATAACTTTGGCAACTGGGGAGTCCCTGGGGAGGTTGTTAAACACAGGTGCTTTGGGTGTTGGGCTCTCCCTGTCATGAACTTGACCAATGTAAATACGAAAACGACTGGGAGCCCGATGCAACATGGCAAGGCTTTTCTCGAAACAACATCTGGTGTGTCTCGCTTCAAGCGCAGAGCACCGTGCGCGGGCGGCAGCATGCTGTGCCCGCATCAACTGCAGCCAGAACCCTGACTTGCTGTATCACGGCCATCCTGCTTGGCAGTCAGATGATTCGTCTTACCTTCTCTGTGCCAACGCCCAACTTCAGTCATGACCTCGTCCCCTAGACTGCCCCTCGTGATGACTATTTGTCCCAACAGGATCGGAGAAGCGGAGTAGGTTTTGGCTGCAACGCGCAAAATCGAGTGCATGGATTGAACCCTGCCACCAACACCCACTGCCAAGCCCCAAGCCCCAAACCCTCAACCTTACAAGCCCTAAAGCCAAGTACGTCCCACCGAAACCTCACACCCCAAACCCACGTCCCAAAACTCCATACAGTATAAGCTACCCCCTCACCCTAATTTCAAAAAACCTTACAACCCCTAAATGTTACTTAACCCTTATAGGCCCTAAACGCGGAACCCTAAACTAACCCATCCATTGAAACAAAACCGGCGCAAGGCTGGCACGACCACCCCGCCCAAAAGCGCGGATGCCTGAAAAAGGCTCAGCCCGGCCAGCCTTTCTTGAAGGTCTCATGAGCAGGGTTTAGGGTTTAGGGTTTCGGGTTTAGGGGTACTTATAAGCCCTTAGAAACTCACTTGGAACCCTACAAGTAAGAGCCCAATGAATCTCCAAGTAGGGTCTTCCATTTAGGCCCATCTATCTCCACATCGTGGAAGGTTTAGCACTGATCTCAATTCTAGGGCTCAAACTACATCCACGCTAAGACGGATCACCGAAGCAGCATGGGCAATCAGCATAGAGTATATAAAGCACAGCATATGTTCTTAAGTGCAATCTCAGTTTTCCGCCTCGCGCCAATTTGGGAGTTGGGTACTCCTAATTTTTGAATCCCCCTCCCCCCTTACCCCCCCCCCTATGCCCCCAGCAGTCGTGCAGTCTTCAAGGTCCATGCGCGGCCAGGTTGCCAGGCTTGAGTCTTGACGGAGCTGGTCACAGCTGCACCAAAGCCAACAATGTCCTGGCTTTCGGGCTGAGAAGGTCAGGGGGGGGGGCCAGAATTTTGTAGAATTCAGGGTTTACTCAGATGAGCCAGGAGAAAGATGTAGTTGTGGGCTTAGGATTTTGCGCTCATGCAGCCTGGGAACAGACTTTACTGTTCAAAGCGCCAAGAAAGTGGCGCCTTGGATGAGGCACCTTCTCACATTCACAGCATGAGGGGCATCATGCGGCCCTTTCCCACGAAGAGGGTTTCGGGTTTAGGGTGTAGATTGGGATGTTCCCCCTTACACTAACAGTCCTTAAACGGGATTATAGTGGCCCCCCCCAATTCGAATCCTTAGTAAGGACTGTTAGTATAAGGGGGAACATCCCGAGGTGTAAGGCTTTAGGGTTTAGGGCTGGGCGTCCTTCTGCAAGTGCAAGGATGCGAAGTTCTGGATCAAGTCCTTTCCATGCGAGGCAACTGTTCGTTACACCCCTGAGAATCCCCATATAGTTGTAAGCAAAGCCGAATTACACGAAACACCACTTCTACTGAAACAGGCCCACACTTAAAAACAAGCTGCACAGTGTCCCCCCCCTCACTCATTGTACAACTATGGACACCCCCCCACCCCCCGCATATCGAAGTTTCCAGAGCAACTTGCACTGGAGAAACCCTAAACCCGAAACCCGAAACCCTAAACGCTAAACCAGACCGTAAGCTCCTTCGTGTCAGGTTCTCGCTACGCTGGGATTCTGGGTTGACTGGTGTGGGCCGACCTTGGATGGATTACTTGCTTATAAAAAGCCCAACCCTGGGTTAAGTTTTCAGTCTTCAGTGCAGGGGCATGGGCCTGAGCCCTATGGCAGAGGTTGCTCTAAACACAGGGTCCCTTGCAAATGCCTTGCATTTAAGGTCTCAGTGGTTCTAGGGTTAGTACCCTAAACCCTAAACCCTGAGGTCCAGCGCATGGTGCCAGTTGCCCGCTGCGGCGATGGCAGCGTTTAACGAGACCTGAAGACAGTTGTGGGGACGAAACATCCCCACAACACGGGAGATTCTCTAAACTAGGGTCCCTTTCTGGGGGGGGGGTCCTCGTACCTTGTTTCGATACGGAGCTTCGTATTCAGGGTACCCCACATAAAGGACCGCAGTTTCGGGAACTGCCCAGAACACTCAGCCCTACAAAAAGGTTGACTTTTAAGACATAGAAAAGGGCAAACTGGCCCATCCTAGGCAGCTCCAAGCAGGGTTTAGGGTTTAGGGTTTTGGGTTTCATGCGGAGTTCGGTGACCGCAATGTGGCGCAAGGCACCGACGCGGAAATGGAAGCAAACCCTCAGCCCAAGAGTCTGAGAACCCTGTCCAGGCACGCGGTCGGGTTCAAGCCCTTCGATTTTGCAGATCTCCAGTTGATGCAGCCTGGAAAACTGGGCAGACTTCACCAGCATTGGGCTTAAGGTGTAGGTTGGTGGGACAGTGTCGTTTGTTTTGCTTTTGGCTTGGGCGGGGTGGGGAGGTGCGGTTGCGCACCCGAACTCAGCGATTCGCAAGCAACTTTTGTATCGATGCTGACAGCCAGACCTCCCGAAAAATCTCGATGCCTTTGGCACGCTGAGTCTTGAGCCAAAGAAGCCCAAGACCTACGTAGACCTGGAAGAAGTCTAAACCCTAAACCGCAAGTCTCGGCCATGACTATAGTCAAATTATATTAAGGTGTTTTTACAGTACTATATTTTCGTACATGATAACACCCGTATATTGTTGCATCCTTGTATTCTACACTTATTGGAGTATTCAGATCTTGCATTACAATATTATGAACGCTCCGGGGGCTGAGCCTGCGAGTTTCTACCGCCGGAAGTCAACTCCAGCTTTCCCAGGACCAAGGAGGGTTTAGGATTTATAGGGTCTAGGGTGCTTAGGGTTTATAGGGTATAGGATGTAGTGTTTAGGGTTTAAGGTTTTTTAGGGTTTGCAGGGTTTAGGACGTAGGGTTTGGGAAGCTACAGGCAGGGCAAAGTTGCTGCTGGCTCCGGTTGCCGACTGCCAATGACAGTCTGGCCGAGTATGCCCTACTTGAAGGTTCATGGATACTCAGCAGTAGGGGTATAAATCGGGTAACTAAGGGATTTAGGGAAAAGGGTTTAGGGTTACAACGTTTGCTAGGGGTACTTATAACCCTACTTCTAAGTACCCAAGAAACTCCAAGTACCATCCCTCAGTACCTCCCTGTGTGGGGTCTTGTTGCTATCCTGACCATACATAATCACACTTGAAGGTTCATGGGTACTTAGAAGTAGGGATGTAAGTACCCCCAACTAAGGTTATAGAGTCATAAACATCGTTGCTCTGTTTATAACCCTACTTATAAGCACCCACGAACCTCCAAGTAGGGCTCAGTGTGGAGACTAAGCCTGGAAGACCCTGCTTGAACCCTGAACCTGAACCCTAAACCCTAAACCCTAAACCCTAAACCCTAAACCCTAAACCCTTAACTGCCGCCAAGAGAGACGCGCGCGGCCAGCGCGCTCGCAAGGCGGCAGCCAGGGCGGTGAAGCACGCCACGTCCAGTCGGAGCCGGGCTCCTTTGGCCTGGACTCAAGGTTTAGGGTTTAGGGTTTAGGGCTTAGGGTTTAGGGTTTAGGGTTTGGGGTTTGGGGTTTGGGGTTTGGGGTTTGGGGTTTGGGGTTTGGGGTTTGGGGTTTGGGGTTTGGTATGGTTTAGGATTTAGGGTGTAGGCTCAAGGGCGACTGGTCCTGGTTTGGTTGCGGGGTGGTGTGGGGGCTTAGAAAGAGAGAGGGTCCATGCGGAGGAGGTATCAAACAAAGAACCTGCAAAAACTGTAAGGGCCCCAAGCCCAGAGCCCTTAGCGGGATGAAATTGCGGGTCAGGTCTACTTGGAGGTTCGTGGAAGTAGGGTTATAAGTGGGGTAACTGTGGCTAGAACCGATAACCTTCCTCAGGGCGCCTAGAACCCCACTTATCTTAGTAGCCCAGTAACCAGATTATGATAAGGCCACCCTTTTTTGGGTTGGCCACTTTATAAGGGAACCTTGAACCAAAAAAACGGGTAAAGGGTACCACTGGGCTACCAAGCTATATGTGCTATATGTGCCCATGAACCTCCAAGCAAAGAGGTCGGGATTCGCGTTGAGAAGTGTGCTGGGGAGGTATCGTGGTCCCCTCGCGCTTCCTAAACCCTAAACCCTAAACCCTAAACCCTACACCCTAAACCCTAAACCCAGATTCTAGGGGCATTCCCACTTTTTGTTCCACTGTCAGCGTCCGTCATGTACCTGATGTCGCCGTGAGCACGAACTGAGTAGCTGGGTCACGAGAAGTTCGACCCAATGGGGTTTAGGCTAAGGGTTTAGGGTTTAGGGTTGAGGGTTTAGGGTTTTAGGGTTTAGGGTTTAGGGTTCTTCATATTCTGGCTGTTCTGTCGAGAGTCCGTTGCTCACTTCTCCAACAGTCTGTACACAGGCCTCGACGGCTTTCGAACCACTCTGCAGTCGCGGGTCGAGCACGAAGACTCCTAATGTCTGGCCTTTAGAATGAGCAAAACGATCAAGACAAGATTGACAATGACCAGAAAGTAGATGCAATTCATAGCTCGATTGCTTTTTTGGCTCTCTTCCGCCTTTCGAAGCTGCTTGTTTGCTTCCGCGCTCTGGTGCACAACCTGTTCAATGTTGTAGTCTATGCCTTGGTAGCCAAGCAACCATATAACAAGGGTACCCTTCTTGTGAATGGGCTATTTCCATTAGGGAACCCAGCACTCAAGAAAAAGGGCCCCCTAAACCCTAAACCCTAAACCCTAAACCCTAAACCCTAAACCCTAAACCCGAAACCCTAAACCCTAAACCCTAACCCCTAAACCCTAAACTCAGCTCCCAAGAGGCGGTCCAGGATGGATCCCTGGTCGATGACCAGCACAGCCAGCTCCTTGAAGATGGTGTGCAGGTCGGTGACGGAGGCGGCAATCCTTTCGGGGGGGGGGGGGGGGGGAGGCAAGGAATGACGGGGTTTAGGGTTTAGGGTTTAGGGTTCAGGGTTTAGGGTTTAGGGTTTAGTGTTTTGGCCCATCTGAACTTCAGCAGAGATTTTCATTCGTGTAGAGTGTAAGATCCCATTTCTTTGTTCAAATGGTCTCCAAGGCTCTTGCTGATCTCCTCGTTCCGTGTGGTCGCACTTTGTTCCATGTCCTGCAGGTCCTGTAACTGGCCATCGGTGAAACCTACATCGGCATCGGGCATGGTTCCCTTTGCCGCACCATCGTCAAGCATCCCTCCTTTCTGCCGGTTCCGAATGTCGCTCAGGTAGTCCTTCTGTGACTGCCGAAAATGCTGCGAGAGCTGTTGGAGCTGAGTAGCCAGATTTCGCTGCATGTTCTGTCGCAACTCTCGGTCCTTCTCAGAGGCAAGAGCAGTCCCACGCGTCTTGACCTGGTGGATTGATCCCTCGCATCGCTTCACCAGATTGGAGACTTCGTTGGATATGCGCTCTACCTCCCTGTCTGGAGTCTTGTCATCTGAGAAGACTCGAATGAGCCGCTTCGACTGAGCTTTCTCCAGCTGAACGAGCTTGTCCTTGATGGTCTTGATGTCATCTCTAGCCTGTTCCGCTGCCTCCACCCATTGAGGTGGTAACGGAGCCATCTCGAGCGAGACCTGCTTTCGACCACCCTCCACATCGAGCAGACGATCCACGTCGCCATGCCCGGTACCATGCAGTCCCCCAAGCTTCCTGTATACACTTGTTGGGGTAAGATCTAAAAAAGGATCTTCTTTTGTACCTTATTGGGTTTATAAGTATCCATAACCCTAAACCCTAAACCCTAAGCCCTGAACCCTAAACCCTAAACAAGAAAAACGATCTCCAACCATGACCCAAGCTTCCTCGCCGCCCGCCGATCCCGATGTCGCGTGAACAAAGGCGTCAGGTTGCGAGTGATGGGCGCTCTGCCCGTGGTGGCTTTCATGGGTCTCAAAATGCTAGACGAGATTATACTGGGCGTGCTTTTAAAAAGCACACCGATGTAACATACGTTGAGCCGAAGCTATCTTTCAGCGTGCCTTCCCTCTCTCTAGCCGAATGTGGGGTGCTTTGCATGGTTTACTTACTGGTTCTCAGGTCGGGACATGAGGGAACTGGGTACCCTGCAGAATCTCTTAAACTGTGCAAGTAGGGGGATGTGTAGGGTACCTACTTCCCTCATTCCCTACCCAGAACCGGCAGGTTTAGGGTTTACCTTAAACCGTACCCTTTTTGCCTAAACCCTAAACCCTAAACCCTAAACCCTAAACCCTGAACCCTAAACCCTGAACCCTGAACCCTAAACCCTAAACCCTAAACCCTACTCAGAAAGAGCAGGTGCAGGGTTGAGGGGAAGTGAGATCTGCGCATGATGAGTCCCTGGAGACGTTGAGTCCACACCCTTCAGTTTCCCCGGAAGCCCTAAGCCCTAAACCCCTGTTGCTTACAGGGTTTAGGGTTTAGGGTTTGGGGTGTAGGGTTTAGGGTTTAGGGTTTAGGGTTTAGGGCTCAGGAATGCAAACCTCAATCTAAAAAAAACCAACCACAGCAGGGGGACCTCATCGAGGAGCTGCTCCGCCTGCCGCCACGCGCCCCGCCGGCCACAGGCACGAATCTCTGCGACGACTGGCTCAGTTCCGTAGCTCCTGCTGCGGGTTTGGGGTTTAGGGTTTAGGGTTTAGGGTTTAGGGTTTAGGGGACTGGTAGGGAAGCTCCTGGGGAACTAACGCCGACCCATGTTGCAATAACCCCTAACCCCTAACCCCTAAACCCTAAACCCTAAACCCTAAAGCCTAAACCCTAAATCCTAAACCCTAAACCCTAAACCCTAAACCCTAAACCCTAACCCTAAACCCTAAACAGCCCAGCGTTGATCCTGCAAGGCGCCAGAGGGCCTCAATAAGCTTACTGGCTCAAGCGGGATACCTTATGCAATGCTATGCAAAGGCTCTACTTCAGGATTTCTAGCTAGGATGGCCATGAATGCCCTCTGAAAAACATCACCCAATGAGAAGAAATATGAAACATCCCCCTAAACCCTAAACCCTAAACCCTAAAACGAAGGCTTTAGGGCAACTTGAGGAGACCCTAGGAAGAATTCAAAAATCTGGCTCTTTCCCTGATGGGGAAGAAAAGTCTAGTTTTTTTGATGTGTGCAAGTGTGCGTGTGTGTGTGTGTGTGTGTGTGTGCTTGTTGATATATATATATATATGTGTGTGTGTGTGTGTGTGTGTGTGTGTGTGTGTGTGTGTGTGTGTGTGTGTGTGTGTGTGTGTGTGTGTGTGTGTGTGTGTGGTGTGTGTGTGTGTGTGTGTGTGTGTGTGTGTGTGTGTGTGTGTGTGTGTGTGTGTGTGTGTGTGTGTGTGTGTGTGTGTGTGTGTGTGTGTGTGTGTGTGTGTGTGTGTGTGTTTTTGGGGGGGGGAGAATTCTTGGGCAAATGGTAGAGAATACCGCAAGAAGGGTTTAGTTTTTTTTTTGGCCTCCCGCCTGGCTGAGCGAAAGTCCACATTGCAAGGCATCATCGTTTGGGTTCAGAGGTTAGGATTAGGCCCAGACATTACCCGGAAGCCTAAACCCCCAATATCTCTTCACTCAGCCTTGCGCTCGGGTTTTCTTGTGGGGAGTGTTTGGGGTTTTGGGGCTCAGGGCTTAGAGCTTAGGGCTCAGGGTTTAGGGTTGTGTTTGGGGTGGGGGACATGCGGGCCTGGGACTTTGTGACACACCTGCCCCCTTACCTCTCCTGCACGGAGGCACGCGCATGGGAGGTCGCACGGCATGGCTTCAACTTCTTCGGGTGTCTGAGGCCCCTTACAACCCTAAACCCTAGACCCTAGACCCTAAACCCTAAACCCTCAACCCTCAGAACCTGAACCAAAATCAAACTACTTGGAGGTTCATGGGTAATTAGTTATAAGTAGCGTTATAAGTGGGGGAACTCTATCGGCGTAACCTTACTGGCTACTTAAAACCCTACAGGGTGGGGCCCCCTTACTATACTAACTGTAGTTAAGGGACTTATAACCTAACTTAGGGTCCTTATAACCCAATTTAGGGCCCTTATAACTCTACTTATAACTAGGGGGCCCCACCCTGTACCTGCAAGTACCCATGAGCTTTCAACTAGCTTTCCAGCCAATCCTGGTGCCCTTGAGAGGGTCTGCTTGGAGGTTCATGGAGACGGATAAGTCGGGTCACAAGTATGCACTAAATAAGGTTATGACCTCTCAGAACTACCCCTAAACCCTAAACCCTAAACCCTAAACCCTAAACCCTAAACCCTAAACCCTAAACCCTACCGCCCAGGAGCTCTAAGGCCAACTAAGGCGTCCTGCTTCAAGGGCTGCTTACATGTCTCGAGCAAACAGGGGTTTGGGCTTCAATTGCAGCTCTAGGAACTTAAGCCTCTATAAGCCCTAAATCCTATAAAGCCTAAACGCTCTGGCAAACACAGTGCTGCACTACGCGGGCTCTGTATCGGCTTGAACCTGGGGAACAAGATAAAAAGTTTTCAGGGTTTAGGGTTTAGGCCTTACAGGGTGTACACTGATTTCTAAGGTAAGGTTTATAGGGTTTGGAGATTTTGGGGATCACATACCCCATACCATAATCATCCGATTGATTCTTGGCAGCCCAGTATCCACATATCACAATAAGGGCACCCTGTTTGGGGTTGGTTACGTTTTTAAAGGGAACCCAGAACCATCAAAGAGTGGAGGGTAGGCACTGGGCTTCCAAGGATGAATGTATTGGGATCAACCCTCAACCCTCAACCCTCAACCCTAAACCCTAGACCCTAAACCCTAGACCCTAAAGGTCCTAGACACTAAGCCCTAAACCCTAAACCCTAAACCTTAGACCCCTAAACCCAAAAGGTCCTAGACACTAAGCCCTAGACCCTAGACCCTGAACCCTAAAGGTCCTACACCCTGACCCCTACACCCTAAACATTAAGGTATTCTGGACCTTGAACAACCCTATGGGATCAGACTGGAAGTCTTAGCTACAGTAGGGTTTAGGGTTTAGGGTTTAGGGTTTGCTGTCCTGCACGCCGCAGGACAGGAAAGTGCGGGGGGTGGGGGGGGGGGGGGGGCGCGAACTGGGGCCTCCGTAATATAGCCTTTTTGGGTGATGTAGGGTTTAGGGTTTAGGGTTTAGGGCTTAGGGTTTAGGGTTTAGGGCTTAGAGCGGTCAGACCAACGCCAAAGAAGGGTACCTAGCCTGCAGACTCAGGCTCGTTGCTCTAAGGCACCTCCTTTAAAGGGTTCTGATGTATGGGCCCTTAATTTGTACACGAGTAGGGTATATAAGGGGTATAGAAGGGGCCCCCTTTGAGGGCCCATACTAAGGGACCATGTAACCCTAAACCCTAAACCCTAAAGCCTAAACCCTAAAACCTAAACCCGCCCTAATTCAACCAATGTAGCTACCCCTAGAGCGCTGCTTCTTTGGTCGTGCCTTGGAGGCGAGTGATGCATTTGCGCAAGAACTCAGCCAAGCCCCCCAAGTCGGGGACGGCGAACTCCACCAAGTGCCCAGGGTTGCCGCGTTTAGGGATTAGGGGTTTGGGGGTTTAGGGTTTAGGGGTTTAGGGTTTAGGGGTTTAGGGGTTTAGGGGTTTAGGGTTTAGGGTTTAGGGGTGTGCTGCCTCATCGCATGCTCTTCATGCCCACAGTGGCCTCCTGCAGCTGAGAACGTGCGCTGAAGGTGGCGCCCGCCACCCTCGCAGCTGCTACAGGAAGTGCTCCCGCTGTGGCGACAGGCACAGGTTCATGTTCATGCCTGGCATCTGCGCCAGTCCTGGCTGCCTCTGTGGTGACTGCTGCAGCAGCTGAGCAAATGGATGCTGTGGAGTTTGTGGAGGCAGTTGCTGTGGAGGTAGCTGCTGTGAGGACAGCTGCGGAGTCAGTTGCTGTGGGGGTAGCTGTTGCGGAGGCAGTTGCTGTAGCTGCTGCTGCGGCAGCTGCTGTTGGGGTAGCTGCTGGACCTGGGCGTGCTGCCCAGGCAGATGTTGCTGTGGCATCGGCGCCTGAAGCTGAGGGGTCAACTGAGGGGTGTATGGAAGATGCAGCGAGGCTTGTGAAGCCATTTGAGGCACGTAAGCCATGGCCTGGCGCAAGAATTGCAGGCTCAGCTTTTCGTGGGGGAGGCTATGAGTACTTCTGTCTTGACGGGCAGCAACTACAACTGCTGCGGAGGCATGGCCAGGGTATTAGATGGTGTGAGCTGGACACTACATCTCTCTGTCTCTCTCTTTCTCTCTCTCTCTCTCTCTCTCTCTCTCTCTCTTCTTCTACCCAGCGAAGAGGCCCCCCCCCCAGGAGAGAGGAACCCCGGCCACGCTGGCCCGCTGCTCTGTCTTGGTGAAAAGACGGGTTTGTTACACATTGGTAATCCCGTTTGTTTGGACGAAAGGTGCTGGTTCTACTAGCTTCGGGCCCCTCACTTGTCGGTCCCCTCGCGTGGATCCTCTTCAGTGGCCCCCTCGTCCTCCTCCTGTGCATCGTCTTGGGTGTCGATTTGCGTGCTCTGCACCTGTCCTCCTGGCTGACGTTCTTCTTGACTCTCTCTCTCTCTCTCTCTCTCTCTCTCTCTCTCTCTCTCTCTCCGTCGCTCCCTACCTCCTCTCACACGCGCAAGACAGATCTGACCTTGCCCTTGGCATTTGGGTGAGAAAACCACTTCTTGTTACTTGTTCTTGAAGGACAAACAGGGTTGCTCTACTCGAAGGTTCATGAATACTTATAAGTAGGTTACAAGCACCCTCAATAAGCTTTTTGCCATAGCTTCCCGAACATACCCCCACTTCGAAGCACCCCAAAACCCTAAATCCTACACCCTAAATCCCACACCCTAAGCCCTAAACCCTGAACCCTGAACCCTAAACCCTAAACCCTGAACCCCACTTCGAATGGTCTGCCTTAGACGTTGACTTGGCAGCCTGCGGCAGCATAGGCTGTGGCCACATAGGTGTCGATGGCAGTGAGGCGTGGGGCACCTTGGCGGGCTCCTACACCCTAAACCCTAAACCCTAAACCCTAAGATCGCACCCTGTTTTTGGCGTCTTGCACACCGAGCCCAGGGCTTGCAGATGCAAGCTGGAAATTTTCCCTACTGGCACTCCAATGGGGAATTCGGGAATTAGGTACATTCTTGCTTAGGGTTTAGGGTTTACGGTTTAGGGGTTAGGGTTTAGGGTTTAGGGTTGAGGTTTAGGGTTTACTAGTGTTTAGCTATATGCCTTCTTCGGGTTTAGGGCTTGCTCGTTTCTAGGCTTTAGGGCTTTAGGGCTTAGAGAGCTCATTGGCCTCATTCCCTACCAAGAACCCGTTTCATTCGGGCCCCAAAAAAACCACATAAACATAAGGATCCTACTATTGGGGTCTAAGGGCCCCTATAAGGAGGATTCCGAAAACCCCAAACCCTAAACCCTAAACCCTGAACCCTGGACCCTATGTTTCTGTGTTTTTGTTGGGGCCTAATCGAGTCGAGGCGCATAGCTGTTGTGCCCACGTGCCGACTGCCTCAATACAAGTCGGGACAACCCTAAACCCTAAACCTTAAACCCTAAACTACCCTAAACCCTAAACTCTAAACCCTAAACTTTAAACCCTAAACCTTATACCCTAAGCCCTAAAATGAGCGATGAATCCTAGAATCAGCCTGTTGTGTTTCTGACATCCGCAGTCCGCACTGGCCGCTGCTCTTGAATGGTTTTATGGTCAGAAACAAGGCCGTTCCGTCTGGTTCCTTGTATACTCCCCCCCAAAAACATAGAAAACTGCACCCATTTTTTATTACCCTGACCAGGAAGAGCATTTGTATCTATCTGTTGGCGGGGGTTCTTAAGCAAGTAGCAGGAGATCTGGCATGGAGCTAGGGAGTTGTAGGTACCGCCCCCCCCCCCCCCATCATCTTCTGCTTACTACTCACATCTGCATTGAGGCTCCCAGTTCCCAAGTTCTCCAAAGAATCACATTCGCCTTGGGCCCTTAGGGTTTAGGGTTTAGGGTTTAGGGTTTAGGGTTTAGGGTTTAGGGTTTAGGGTTTAGGGTTTAGGGTTTAGGGCCAAACTTCTGGAGCCAGGTGCCTTGAGAATGCCAGGGGCGAGTTTAGTGTTCTCAAAGTTTGGGGCGCTTAGGGTTTAGGGCTTGGAGTAGGCCCGGGCTTCGGGTATTCATATAACGCTACTCTCCATTTGCTAGCTAAACAAAAGAGTAAACTTGACTGTTCTTACTAAATCAGACACCCAAAAAGGTTGAAAGTCCAACTGTTGGCTACGTAACGAACGCCACTAACAGTCAGATCCCTAAACCCTAAACCCTAAACCCTAAACCCTAAACCCAAACCCTAAAAAGACAAGGCACCCAGACCCCGGCGAATGCCCTTTGCGCAAATTCTTGCAACCGTCTAAAAATGTTCAACATACCCTTGGGCATACCCTTTGAAAGAAATTTCGGGGTATGGTAAAAATCCCCCCCCCTAGGTGAAGGGGTATGTGTTTTGGGCTTGGTGAAATGTTCTTAGAAACCTGGTGGGCTGTGCTTAAGCCCTCGAAGCCCTAAACCCTTAATTAGGGACTGCAGAACCTTGGACTGCATGAACCCTTCGAGAGCTGTGATCGGGAACCCCCTTCAGTTCAGTGGCCATGAACCTAAACCCTAAACCCTAAACCCTAAACCCTAAATCCTAACCCCTAAATCCTAACCCTAACCCTCAACCTGGCTGAATTCTCGAGGATTTTGAGCTGCCGAGGGCCCGGGGGCTTCATCCCAGCCGAGGTACATCGCGGGTGGTGTTATTGTAGGTCGCCTCAGCAACACAATGCTTGCCCGGCGGAAGCCCAAAAAACCCTTCGAGGCAAGGAACATACCTTAAAAGCACCCATAGACTCTTGCCGTCGACTCTTCATTTTTCATCAGTGGTCTCTTAAGGTACAGACCCTGATTAAGGGGTGATTTGCGTCTCTTTCCGGGCGCCTGGAGCCCTCCATTTATGTGATGCCCTGGTGACTTGAGCCACGACACAAAGGAGTCCCGCAAGCGAGGACCCCAAATCTGCCGAGCATAGATTTAGGGTTTAGGGTTTAGGGTTTAAACCCTTTTCGCGGCTCATTTCCCCAACAACGACCCCTCAACATGCAGCAAGTAGTCTTTTCTGATCTCCCCAAAAGTAACCCCCACAAAGGGAGCCCTTCCCCTGTTCCGCACCGAGCAGCTGGATCATAAAGGGAACGCTAGATCGGCCGGAGCGAAAACTCCCCACGCTCGCAGACCTGCGAACTTGGCTGCTCTGAGCAGGGTAGCTACAAATTTAATGTTTAGCTGCCTTCTTAAGAAACCCAATAAACCCAAAAAGGCTAAAGATGTAAAGTTACAGTACAGCACCACAAAGCGATGAAAGCGCTTGCGGAAGGACTTATCTCGGCAGACATCTGGACACCCTGAGCGCATCTCAACCCTGGGTCAAACCTTTCGTGATCCCTAAACCCCAACCCCTGTTCCCCATAAACATCAAAAAGAACAAATGAGCCCATAACCCTAAACCCTAACAACCCAAAACCCCAAACCCCAAACCCTAAACCCTAAACCCCAAACCCTAAACCCTCAACCTGCCTGTGGCTGGCAGGCGCGCGGTCTCCCGGCGGAGCGGCGAGGCCTGGCTGCGTGAACCCACTTGGGGGGGGGTTCATGGCTATGTAACGGTTTAGGGTTTTTTGCCACCCGCCTAGGTTTAGGGTTTAGGGTTTAGGGTTTAGGGTTTAGGGTTTAGGGTTTAGGGTTTAGGGTTTAGGGCTCAGGGCTTAGAGCTTGCTTGAAGGTTCCTTGGACCCTTTTAGTGGGGTTCTAAGCGCCCTAGAGAAGGCCATAGCCATCGTTACCCTAATTACGTAGAACCTCTACGTCTAACACGAACCTCTACTACTATTTGCTTAAGAAACCCCCCACCCCCCCCCCCCCCCCAAAAAAAAAAAAAAAAAAAAAAAACAACAATAATAATAATAATGACAATAATAAAAATGTCCTTCCTTATGAGGGCAATGCTTTGATTTTTCTGCCGGTTCTTAGCCAAATGGTGGTTGTCAAGCCCTTTTGGGGTACACCCTATAGGTGCCGTACCATAAGAGGGATCCAAAAAGGCACCATCATTTTGACAACCAAGCAAATAGTGGTCTAAGCAAGGGTTGGAGAGGGACGGTAGCCCAGGACGAGGCGCTGCGCCGCGGGGGCGACGAAGCTCGCCATGACTCTCCTCGCGCACCTTAGAGCGAGGTATGCTTCAAGTCTTGCGGTTTAGGGTTTAGGGGTTTATAGACCGGGTGTTCGTCAGACAAAAATGGCCTACCGCTACTACTTGTGAGGGCGGCACAAACCCCACCTAGGGTTTAGGAGGGTTTAGGATTTAATTAGGGTTTAGGGTTTAGGCTATCAGGCTTTGTATCGTGCTGGTACGGCCGCGGTGGGCAGTAGCCAGCACTGCGTCATAAAGCAACACGAGCTAGCAGGATGGCATGTCCAACGAGCTACGATCTGGCACTAGAAGGCAGAACTACTACGATATGGCACTAGAAGGCAGAACTACTATTTGCTTCGGAACCGCAAAAATATGAAAGCTAATAGTCCCTATATTCCCCTTATACGGAAGAAATGTTTAGGGGGTTCTTAAGCAAGAGGAGAGACTACTGGCCCCCCCAAACCCTTAAAATCTTTGAGCCCTTCATCCCAATTGCATCATCAGTCCCGAGACCGGTCCCTAAACAGACCAACAAAAAATAGAAGCCTAGTAACCCTCAAGCCCTGAAAAAGCATGAAACCCGCACGAACCTTGAACAAACCACAACCCTGAAGAAATCCGCCGCAACGGAAACCGTGATTATGTTGTCTTTTCTGCTGACATGCGTTTGTGGCCTAGGCGACACACCTATTTTGAAGAAACTTGCTGGCATGTGAAGCTCTTCGAGGATTTGCGTGCGCGCTTTTGGAGTTTCGGGCTGGGGGTCTGCGGGTGCAAGGTTTCGAGCATGGATGCTCTTGCCACTTGATGCACTGGTCGCTTTGTTTAAGCAGACAACTTACAATGCCATATTGTTCTGAAATCAGTTCTTTCTGAAAATGCCAGGAACATTGTGCGCATCTGGTGTCGGCAGCTAGAAGAAACATTAAAAAGCAGACAAATAAAACATGTAAATAGATAAGCAAAAAACAAAAAATGTACATGTGTGTATATATATATTCATCTGTAGAACACAAAGCAGGAAAAAGAAAATCTATACTCGTCCCTAAAACCCTAAACCCTAACCCTAAACCCTATAAACTTACCTCGCGAAACCCCCCCCCCCCCCTCCCCCCACCACGCTGGGCACGCCGACCCAGGAGCGCAGCACTGGCGGCCTCTGCCGCTTCAGCCGCGGCCTACTTGCGGGAGTTTAGGGTTTATAGGGTTTAGGGTTTAGGGTTTATAGGGTATAGGGTATAGGGTTTAGGGTTTAGGGTTTAGGGCTTAGGGTTTAGGGTTTAGGGTTTAGGGTCATGGGTTTAGGGTGGTATAAGGTTTTTAGTGATCAGAGGGTTTTAGGGTGGTATTAGGGTGTAGCCTCAGGGGTTGTTACCTTGGGCTTAAAGAGGTTTAGCTTTGTTTTTTTTTGGGGGGGGGGGGGGGGGTAGGCTTTAGGAAAGTGTAGTTCTAGCTGGGCGTAGTTCTAGCACAACTAGTGAAACTGCCAAACCCTGAGTAGGACTATGGTTGATGTGCTTTGATCCCAGAAAAGGATGAGAAGATGACAAGGTCCTATTTTCGGAAACCCGCAGATGTCGGATAGGAGCGCTGCAGTGGCTCGTGCGAAACGACCACCCTCAACCCTAAATCCGAAAACCTTACGACCCCTAACCCTATATGCCCAAATTCCAAACCCTTAAGACATATAAACCCTAGAAACCCAATTCACCCTAAATCCTGACTATTCTATGCCTGAAACTTCTTAAGGCCCCTAAACAGTGAACAAACCCTGCAAACCCTGAACCCTGAACCCTAATCCCAAAACCCCAAACCCTAAACCCTGCAAGCCCAAAACCCTAATCCCGAAACCCGAAACTAAACCCGAAGCCCCAAACCCTAAGCCCCAAACCCTAAACCCTTAACCCCAAACCCTAAACCCCGCCGTGGGCCTGGGCAGCCTGCGCTGCATGGCGAGCCGTGGCGGCAGCCCGGATCGCTTCTTCCGGATCCTTCCGCGGGAAAAGGGGTTTTGGGGTTTGGGGTTTGGGGTTTGGGGTTTAGGGTTTAGGGTTTAGATTCTCTCTTGCCTTAATCATATATCTGAGGGTAGTTGCCCTTTTTTTGCAACCGCGACTGCGAGGCTGCCGGGGAACTCAGGCCCAGACAACGAGCCAACTTTAGTTTTTCTTAGTACTAGGATATAAATATAAATAAATATAAATATAAATATGAATATGCATATACATATAACATGAATATAAAAAATAGACATACAAATATAAACATAAGTATAAATATAAACATGAAGATAAATGAATAGATTATATCATATACGCATATACATATATACATACGCATATACATATATACATACGCATATATATATATATGTATATATATATACATGTGTATATATATATATATAAGTATAAGTTTATAGAATTGACCCAGCACAGATCGACAAGAAACAACATATCATTCTCATGGAATGTTCTTTGCAAGGCAGATTCTACGGCCGTTCTACTGTATATTCTGGCACAACCACATCGATTCGTCATCCATCGCACTTCTTCCCACTGACTAAATGAATCCCAGCTCTAAGCACCATGCTCCAACTTTCTGGAGTTAGCTCAAAGGATGCAAAGTGAAGAATCTAAGCCCCTCTACCCTAAACCCTCTGCCCTAAAACCCTAAAAACCCTTAAACCCTAAAACCCAAAACACAAAAACCCTAAAACCCTAAACGCCCTAAAAGCCCTAAAAGCCCCACAATCCCCCCTAAAACCCCTAAACCCTAAAACGCCAGAACCCAAACACCCCAAAACCCTTAAAACAAAAAGCAAAAAACTCCAAAAACACCTAAAGCCCCCAAAAAAAGAAACCCGAAAACACTAAAACCCTCCAAACCCTAAATCCCAAAAACCCTCCGAAAGCCTCGAAAAGCCTCCAAAACCATCTAAAATCCTCTAAAACCCTAAACCCCTAAAACCCTAAAACCCCAAAACCCTAAACCCTGATGCCGGGCCTTGGCCTGCGCAGCCAGTAGGGCTGAGTGACCGGCTTCACTTGCGCGCAGCTGGGCCTCGAGTCGAAGAAGTGTAGGGTTTAGGGTTTAGGGTTTAGGGTTAAGGGTTTAGGGTTTAGGGTTAAGGGTTTAGGGTTTAGGGTTGAGGGTTTAGGGTTTAGGGTTCAGGGTTCAGGGTTTAGGGTTTGGATTTGGGGTTTAGTAGGGTTTAGGGTTTAGGGCTTAGGGTATAGGGTTGCCAAAGAGTTGATTTTTGTAACACGACGTGAGTCAACAGGTGGCTCATCAGCCCCTTTCACGGCTTAGGCTTTAGGGTTTAGGGTTTAGGGTTTAGGGTTTAGGGTTTAGGGTTTAGGGTTTAGGGTTTAGGGTTTAGGGTTTAGGGTTTAGGGTTTAGGGTTTAGGGTTTACGGTTTAGGGTTTACGGTTTAGGGTTTACGGTTTAGGGTTGGGTTTGGGATGTTTCCGAGTTCCCTTTTCTTTCTTGCCTCTGGGGGTTGCAGGCACTTGGGTTCAGGGTTCAGGGATGGTTTGAGAGAGCAGATTAGGGTTTAGGGTTAGGGTTTAGGGTTTGGGGATTGGGGTTTAGGGATAGGGTTTCGCTCGACCCTCGTTGAAACCTCCCCGTTACGCATACGGACGGCATCACAGTCCTTAGTTCGGGCTTGCTGGAGGCTATCAGTCCCCCATAGGTTTAGGGTTTAGGGTTTAGGGTTTAGGGTATAGGGTTTAGGGTTTAGGGTTTAGGGTCTAGGGCTTAGGTTTAGGGTTTAGGGTTTAGGGTTTAGGAATACACCGTTTAAACCACAAGAAAGAACCCCTGTGAGTGATTCTCAAAAATCTGTATTCCGAACTTGGACCCTAAACCCTAAACCCTAAACCCTAAACCCTTAACCCTTAACCCTAAACCCTAAACCGCAAAGATCTGGTCCCAAAGATTCGGGCCTCTCTGGCAGCTGCCTGCGCAGTGTTCCTGGGAGTTCTGAAACCCGAAACCCTAAACCCCAAACCCTAAACCCCAAACCCCAAACCCTAAACCGTAAACCCTAAACCCTTAACCCTAAACCCTAGACCCTAAGATGGAGAGGCTTGCCATCTTCGTGGAGGCTTTCCCGTGTGGGGATCCGGGCTCGACTGAGCGTAGAAGACCCTGAAGCCAGACAAAACTCATCAGCTACCATTTGCTTAAGACCCCGCCCACAAAAAAATGGGTTTAGGCTTTAGGGTTCAGGGTGAAAGGCTACTTTACGAACCCTCCTATTTGCTTAAGAACCCCCCCCCAAAAAAACACAACAAATCAAAACAAATGCCCTCTCTTATAAGGGCAGGAACGGGACTATTGTGTATATACATACACACATATTATGATTTGTTTCGTGGGGGGGGGGGGGGGGGGGGGGGGCTCTCGGGCCGACGTGGAATCATGTCGTCGAGTGCATCACTCAGGGGCTTCACATGACCCGGAGTAGGTCTAGTTTACGAGTTTAGGGGTTGGGGTTTTGAGGCCCCAGAAAAGAATACGGCTGAACTCTGAACCCTAAGGGCTAAGTCTTAAGGAGTTAGGGTCTGCCGGCCTGTGGTGGCTCCACGTGACTCCCAAAAGGACAGCAGGGTTTCGGGTTCAGGCAACTCGGGTGGCCGCGGGATGGACAAGCGTGTTCTGCTTAGCCCCAAAAGCCCACATCCCAAACCTTCGCCTAGGCGCCCCCCCCCCCCAAGTGCTCTTGACCTTTATGCCCTAAAGTTGGGATGTTCCCCCTTATGGCCCTTATGCTGACAGTCCGCAATGGATTGTAGCACGCCCTCCCCTTTTGTAATCCCTATCTAAGGACTGTTAGTAGAAGGGGGAACATCCCAACCCCAAAACCTCAAAACCTCAAAACCCTAAAACCCTAAAACCCTAAAAACCGAAAAGCCCAAAACCCTAAAACCCTAAATTTTAACCTAAACTACCCTAAACCCCTGACTACCCCGGTTGCAAGCAGCAGTCGACAACTCCGCCTAAACCCTAAACCCTAAACCCTAAACCCTAAACCCTAAACCCTAAACCCTAAACCCTAAACCCTAAACCCTAAACCCTAAACCCTAAACCCTAAAGCCCTGACAAGGCCTCGAAGGCACCAGCGCCGCCTCCACCACAGCCTCGCCACCTGCCGTGTTTTTTTTCAAAAGTCTTCGGTCCTTTAGGGTTTAGGGTTTAGGGTTTAGGGTTTAGGGTTGAGGGTTGAGGGTTGAGGGTTTAGGGTTTCGGGGTTCAGGGTTTCGGGTTTAGGGTTTCGGGTTTGGGGTCCCCTTCGAACAAGGAGCTGGCCACTCATGCTGAAACCCCAAGCCCCAAACCCTAAACTCTAAACTGCGACCTCCGGGCGGCGTCCAATCCAGTGGTCTGGCTCTTCGGATGTAGCTCAGCCGCGGGAAGTGGTTCTGGAGGTAGCTGTTGCCTGTTTAGTGAACCCTAAACCCTAAACCCTAACCCTAAACCCTAAACCCTGTTTTGCTTGACGTTTTAGGGTTCAGGGGTCTTCACTATCCCTGCTGCAGGTTGAGGGCAGCTTTCAAATCTGACCGTTCGGGATTTCGGGTTTCCATGAATCAAGGGACTAAGGGAGGGACCCTGGCAAGGGAGGCGTAGGGCTTAGGGCTTAGGTGTCATGTAGGGGCTGCTTTGTTATATGGGGGACTATATGTAAGGTGTGTGTATATATATATATAGTGTACATATATACATAGAGGAAAAAGATTATATACAGGTACCTTCTAGGGGGTCCCTCCTTGTGTCCTTTAAAGATGGCGGACTCACTGGCCATATGCCAGAGAGTCCCTAAAGCATGGGGTTCCCTCGGTTCAGAGAGGTTAAGGGTTTAGAGGGGGCTCTTGGCTGAAATTGAACACCTCCCACCATCCTAACGGGCTTAGGGTTTAGGGTTTAGGACTCATACAAGGGGACCTTCGCATCGTTACCCTTGGCGCCGGCAGGTTACTGGTGTCACCATCAACCAGGTGCAGAGCACCCGAAGCCCCCGAAGCCCTGAAAGGCTGCCTGACAGCAAGCCGAAGTCGCACCTGTTGGGTTCAAACCATAGTAGCCCTAAACCTTAAACCCTAAAGCCTAAACCCTAGACCCTAAACCCTAAACCCTAAGATCTAAACCCTAAACCCTAGGGTGTAGGGTTTTAGGAGCTTACGATCACGACACCCGAAAGCTCCCCCAAGCACCTGTGATTTTTTTGTTGTGGAGGCTGATTACATGTTGCCATCGGGCGATTATGACCTACCAATTTGTAGGGTTTAGGGTTTAGGATTTAGGGTTTAGGGATGAGATTTTAGGGTTTAGGGCCTGCTGATTCATAGTGTTGCAGGCTACAGGCTGCCACTCAAGCCGGCCTTCGGCGTTGATCCGGCGCGTCTCGGGACCCTTGCCGCCAAACTCGGCGATGTCGCCGTAGCAAGTCTCAATCCTCTCCTCTACTCATGTCGGTCAGGGAGCTTGAGGTCTGTAACCATAAGGATTTTGGGTGCTGCAGGTCTGTGGCTTGAACCCTGAGGGGTTGGGGCAAGTCAATGCGTTAGGCAGCATTGGCCATTGGCCATGCAGATGGACCTGCTGAGTTGCAAGTATAGCTGCTGACATGAAGCTTCGTACTTGAAGGGGGCCCACTTCAAAACTTCTGGACCCTAAACCCTAAACCCTAAACCCTAAACCCTAAACCCTAAACCCTAAACCCTAAACCCTAAACCCTAAACCCTAAACCCTAAACCCTAAACCTAAGGAACCCCCCAAGCACCCCGAAGAACGCCGCAGAACGCCTCAGCAAGCCTAAGGACCCCTAAGGACCCCTAAGGACCCCGAAGGACCCCGAAGGACCCCTAAACCCGGGTTTAGGGTTTAGGGTTTAGGGTTTAGGGTTTAGGGTTTAGGGTTTAGGGTTTAGGGCAACTCCTTCAAAACTGCAGAATGCGAGCTTCCCAGGGGAGTTTCATATGGGCCCTTAATCCCGTCCCTCACCTGCTTCAAAGAGTTCGGATGTATGGGCCCTTAGTTCGTATAGGGTATAGGGGGTATATAAGAGGTACCCGTTTAAGGGCCCATACTAAGGGACCATGTAACCCTAAACCCTATACCCTAAACCCTAAGCCCTAAACCCTAAGCCCTAATTCAACCCATGTAACTACCGTTAACTACCCTTAGAAAGCTTGCGCGCGCTTTTTGTCTTAGCCCGCTTCCGCGGCGAGGAGGAGCCCCGCGCGTCTTCAGGAACGCATCGCGCCTCTGCTCGTGGGAGCCTTCTCCACCTTGCGCAACAAGTGTATTCCTGTTTAGGGTTAGGGTTTAGGGTTAGGGTTTAGGGTTTAGGGCTTAGAGTTTAGAGTTTAGGGTTTAGGGTTTAGGGTTTAGGGTTTAGGGTTTAGGGTTTGGGGTTTACTGAGGTGAGCCTGGTCATCAGGAACGGCCACTCCTCGGGAGCTCGTGCAGAATCGCTGGCCCTTCAGCTAGCACAGCTCCTCTCGCAACCTGTCAGGTCGCAAGGGATACTTGGAGGTTCATGAGGGTTTAGGTTTTAGGGTTTAGGGTTTAGGGTACTTATAAGTCATTCGTCTGTCGGGAAATGAACGATACGAGGGTGCCTCTCGTCACCAGAAAAAGGGGGCCCTGACCTGACCCCTCCTCAAACGTGTTTGGAACCCAGATTCGGACAAGACCCTAAATCCTATAAGCCCTATAAACCCTATAATTAAACCCTATAATTAAACCCTATAATTAAACCCTATAATTAAACCCTATAAACCCTATAAACCCTATAAACCCTATAAACCCTATAAACCCTATAAACCCTTGCCTCTCCATCGACCAGGCACGCTGGAGTTCGTAGTCGCCAGCCAGCGCCTGCTCGGCGTTGGCTTGCAGCTCCTGCTCCATGGAAAGTATACTCACCTTGAAGTTTAGGGTTTAGGGTTTAGGGTTTAGGGTTTAGGGTTTAGGGTTTAGGGTACTTGTAGGTTATTTCGGGTTTAGGGTTTAGAGGTACTTACAGGTAGGGCTAGAAGTACCCACACACACAACACGTTCTTGTTTCCATTCTCAAGCTATATCGCCGGGCCCGCAAGGACCGAACAAACCTCCAACCTTCTATACCTCACAGAACAGTCACAAGGAACCAAGACGCATGATGGATACGGGGTAAAATGCCCTATGCACTTTTACGAAGGGATCATAAGGGCTACTTGAGCTTATTCAGGCCGTTGTTTCAAAAACTCGCTCCGTACCAAAGCCAGCATGTGCACACAATGTCGTAAGATGCAAAGCCATGCAAAGCCCCTGTCATCTTTGCTACGTAGGGCCACCACACCCGAAGACGATCTCAAGGACTGCCGTGACATACCTGAAAGTGTATTAAAGAGGCAGAAGCACGCTGTCCTGGCTCGGGGGCGCACCCCCCGGCCATCGCGTTGCACACCAGATCTCGCTTGCCTACCGTGTTTTGGAGGAAAGGGGGAGGGGCGGGGGGGCGGGGGGTGGGGGGGAGGGCGGGCAGAGTGGCCGCTTCTTGCTGAGCCTTGTATAATCGATTTCCGAACTCCTAAACAAGGGGAATAAAGGTACGACCGGCCTATGTATGACATGGCGTCTGCAAGAAACACCAAGGCAACCTCACCCCCCGAATCCGCAAACTTCTGAGTCTTGACCATCCGCAAGGCCCCCGAAGCCTCCCCATTCGGACATCTTCCTGCAACAGGGGTCACCCCTGTGTACAATCCTTGCTACTTGTCAGTAGGGATATCAGTACCCAAGTAAGGTTATAACCACAGCTACCCCTACTTATAACCCTACTTATGAGCACCCCTAAACCCTAAACCTAAACTCTAAACCCTAAACCCTAAATGTAAATACCCATGAGCCTCTAGCAGCAGAGGAAACCCAACCTCGAGTCCTGGATCGAAATTCTATGAGGGTTGTTTAAGGTTTAGGCTTTAGGGTTTAGGGTTTGAACGTCTCCAAAGGGCCTCGCACTGGTAAGCACTGAGGCGACATAGGGCCGCGGCGTCGTTCTGTGCTGGGAAAGCACGGGCCTGCTACAACATGCGATTGAATAGTTAGGATTTAGCGTTTAGGTTTAGGGTTAGGGCATCTAGCACTTATGGTGTTGATTTGACCCGACTCCCATTGCGTATATAAAAACTCCACGTGCTATTGTTACCTTCGGTTCGCAATGTCGAGGCGCCGATCTAGACTTGACACCGGATAAGAGTGACCTAGAAAAAAACGGTGCCCTTTCTGGGGTGTAAAGGGCACAATTAGGGAAAAAGCCTAAGCCCTAAAAAGCAACAAAAGGAATAATGGAGCCTACTCCGGGTCCCCTGAACCCTAAACCCTAAACCCTAAAATTCAGGATTCAAGCGACTCTAGTCCGAGACTCGCCCATGGCATCCTCCCGGATGAAGATCAAGTCGCTGGTTCCGCATGCCACCAGGTGAACCAAGTGGTAGCCTTGGCTAGCACGTATGAGCCTGCAGTCGGCTGGGTTTAGGGTTCAGGGTTCAGGGTTCAGGGTTCAGAGTTTAGGGTTTAGGGTTTAGGGTTTAGGGTTTAGGGAGCACCTGCGCAAAGAGCAAGTGCCCTAATGCTGACGAAGCAGCCCCACGCACGGCCCAGCTTCAGCAGGCTGGTGATGCTAGCTCCCGAAACCTTGCTTTTTCAGTAACCGGTTTAGGGTTTAGGTTTAGGGTTTAGGGTTTAACGTATTCAACTAAGGGTACTTTTTTGGGGCTTGGTTGCTTTATATACGGGAACCTTGAACCAAGAAAAAGGGTAAAAGGGTACCACTGGGCGACCAAGAAACCTTGGGAAATCGCTGCAGTTGGGAGAGGCAGAGTCGATGCACCGGAAAGGGTGTGTATCGGATGATGACGTCCTCGGTGTAGGGCAGGTTCTCACCGTACCTACACTGAACTTGGCACCCTAGCAAAAAAATGTGATCTTGCTGTTTCTTAGGAAAAATTTAAAAATAGAAACTATTTCCAAGTACCCATTAAGATACTCCAAGACCACAACCCGAGGGGAGTAGCCAGCCTGATTCAGCTTCATCCACAGCAGCCACTCATAGCCATCAGTATCCAGGGACAGGAGGTCGAATTCTGTAGGAACCTCGCTCTCCTGAAAGATTTCCACGATGTTCGCTGGGGTGATGAACTTTCCTAGGTGTCGATTTCAACAGTCCCCAAAAATTAGTTATAATCAGGCCTCCATATTCAAACAACAAGGGAAACTAACCCTAAACCCTAAACCCTAAGCCCTAAACCCTAAACCCTAAACCCTAAACCTAGTGTCGCTTCAAGTTGACGCGGGAGTTCCGGAAGTTGTCATCCAGCATGAGGCCGTGGAAGCCATATCGCACCCCTTAGTAGCCCAGTAACCATATTATAATAAGGTTTAGGGTTTAGGGTTTAGGGTTTAGGGTTTAGGGTTTAGGGTTTAGGGTTTAGGGTTTAGGGCTGAAAAGGGAACCCAGAACCAAACAAAAAAGGGTAAAGGGTACCACTGGGCTACCAAGACTCGAAGGTACCGCGTGTTGCACTGCTCCCCAGTTTGTGTTCCCACTTCCACAAAGAAGCCTCAGTGTCTAAGTAGTGGTCTGGTGGTTTAGGGTTTAGGGTTTAGGGTTTAGGGTTTAGGGTTTAGGGTTTAGGGTTTAGGGTTTAGGGTTTAGGGTTTAGGGTTTCGCCACCCGCACTGCACGCACATCCAGCGCCCGCATCCGCAGGGTTTAGGGTTTAGGGTTTAGGGTTTAGGGTTTAGGGTTTAGGGTTTAGGGTTTAGGGTTTAGGGTTTAGGGTCTAAAGTTGAGGGCCTACTTTGATGGTTTTTTGGATTGGTCAAATATAACCTGATTTATAAACCAGCTAAGTCAAGTTATAACCATGCCAAGTGGGTTTATAAGTGCACTACATACTTATACTGCAATTATAAATGCAGAGGCAATTACAAACGCTTGTATTCATTTAGAGTATTTACAAGTGCACATAGTAAGTATTTGTGAACTGATTTAGAATCATTTGCAAGTCGTTTATAAATCCTCGCTAAGTAATTATAAATGTCCCACGAGCATGTTTTGAAATTTCCACGTCGTCCATTTTTTGCTTCACCGTGCTCGGTTTTTGACATTTCCACCTGGTCATTTTTTCGGCTTCGCCGTGCTCGGTTTTGACACTTCGTTTTACACATTTTTGTGCGTTTTTTAACACGCGTGTGGCTGGCAAATGGCGCACCACGAGGCTCGCCCGTGATGCTTTTTTTGTAAATATATCATATAAGAGTTTGTTATGCGCCACGAGGCTCGCCCGTGATGCACAATGTCACATATATACCTATACATATACATACACACACACACACACATATATATATATATATACATATATACATTTTTACATATATACACGGATACCTATATACAATATATACAATATATACAATATATACAATATATACAATATATACATATATACATATATACATGTATATATGTATATACATAATATATATGTATATATATACATATACTTGTATACATATATACATATCTATATAGGGTTAGCTGATATGGAGGGTTTATAGGGTCTTGTTTTTGCTCGCCAACTCTGTGCCCGCGCCGTTCCTATACATGGCTCAAATCACCTTTCGCGTGGCTCGCCCGCGGAAGTTGCGTCACGTGGATGCACCCGTGCGCAACCAGCAAACAGACATGCACAGCAGAGCAACAAAACACATGCACGGACATATGCACGCTCACACGCGCACACACACACACACACACACACAGATGTACATGGAACAGAGAGCAGCAGTGACAGAACAGCAAGACACACACGCACACACTCAGCACGACAGGACTATAAGCCGTGCCGCCATGGGCGAGATACCCGAAGCGCACGCTGGTCCCTGGCCCGTCCAGGGCACGCTCACCGCCCAGGACCGAGACAGCATAATGGCGACCACAGGAGTCAGCGCCGCTGTCCGCTACAGGGCACAGTGGGCACAGCGGTGCCTAACACTGCAAGGACCTGTAGCTGGACTCGCCAAGGCCAAGGAACAGGCGATGGCGCTGATCGCCCGCAACGGCACTGAGGGTGGTCGCCAGGGTGAGGAAGCAGTCGGGCTGGGCTCAAAGGCTGCGGCTGCTACTAGCAGCCAAACAAGCTGGACCCGGGGAAAAGGAGGCGGTGCCAGCAGCAGCACAGGACCGGCGTCCAAGACGTGGGGGAAGGCGAAAAGCAACAAAGCTGCAGCGCCTCCCCCGCAGAAGCCCCAGCAGCCCCAGCAGCCCCAGCAGCCACAGCAGCCGCAGCAGCCGCAGCAGCTGCAGGTTCCGCCTGCCGTGCTGCTAGACTTGCAGTACCGCATGGCTGCGGCAGAGGCTGCCCTGCACCACCAAGGCCTGCAGCTCAACGTCCTCACGCAGTGGTCGCAGCAGTTTGTGCCTGTGGCGATCGCCCCGCCTGCAACCCGCCCAGCAGAGGCTCGCCCTGCAGCAGAGGCTCGCCCTGCTGGGAGACGTGAGGAGGAGGAGGACGAGCAGGCGGAGGAGGAGCGAGGCCAGAAAAGGTCCCACAGCTCAAGCAGTCGGAGCAGCAGCCGCAAGGACTGCGTGTTGTTTCCATCTTTGTAAAATAATTTAATGCAAGATATCCCTCCCACGGCTCGCCTGGGAGACCGAGAAATAAAAGCATAATATATAAAAATAAATATAGATATAAATAAATAAATGTCTATATATTTATTATATAGATATGTACATACATACATATTTTTTACATATAGGGAAACTAGACAACCCGCCGACAGTCTTCAAAACCCTTCAATCCCTTCTCCCCTGGTTTATAGGGTTTAGGGTTTAGAGGGTTTAGGGTTTAGGGTTTTATATGGGTATATGTGCCTCTGCAGGAAAGCTCGGAGAAGCCCGCGGAGCCGGACTCTGCCCGCTTGGAGGAGGAGTCGGAGGACACGGAGACGGAGGAGGTGAAGGAGGAGCCTGCGGCAGCAGAGGCTGTTCCTGTGCAGGAGGAGCTGCGGGCTGGAGTGAAGGAGGAGGCAGCAAGCACAGAGGCAGCTGGTGAGGCCCCTGAACGAAAGGAGGATGAGGAGAAAGGGGTGGAAGGGCAGGAGGAGGCAGCAGCTGCCAGCACAGAGGCAGCTGGTGAAGCCCCTGAGGCAATGGAGGATGTTGAGAAAGGGGCAGGAGGGGAGGAGGCAACAGCTGCCAGCTGTGAGGGCCTTGAGGCAATGGAGGATGTTGAGAAAGGGGTCGGGCAGGAGGAGGCAGTAGCTGGCAGCATGCAGGCAGCTGCCAGCACTGGGACCGCTGTGGAGGCGATGGAGGAGGAGGCTGGAGGGGGCGCAAGCCCCATGGAGGTGACGCAGCAGGAGGGTGGAGGAGCTTCGGCCTCAATGAAGGTGGAGGACATGGAGGAGCCACCGGTGCCCGCAGCAATCGCTGCGGCGCCTGCAGCGGAGGTGAAGGTCGAGGAGGAGGAAACACCGTGGGCGGCAGTGGAGTTCACGCCAACCTCGCCGCTGCAGGAGCCTGCAGAGGATGTGCCGGCTCCTGCTGCAGGCTCCTGCTGAGCACAGCATCACGTGGCTCGCCCGTGTTTGCTTGCACAGCTCACAGCATCACGTGGCTCGCCCGTGTTTGCTTGCGCAGCTCACGTACAGCATCACGTGGCTCGCCCGTGTTTGCTTCGCATGTCCTTTGTGGCTCGCCCGAAGGACGCGTGCCACACGCGCAACTCGGACCCTGCACGTGCGCGCAGCAAGAACAGCAACCTACACCCTGTGTAAACCCTCTAGAGCTGTGAAGCAAACAGGACACTCATGCACACACAGCGCAGGGCCCGGGAAGCGATGCACGCATGCACAGACCACGGTCCGCAGGCCGCAGTCAAAAAACATGCGTGCCTTGTCTGCTCTTTCGGGAATTCCACTTTTTTCATATAGATAAACCGGTTTTTTTTGGTTTCGGGGGGGGGGGGGGGGGGGGGGGGGGGGGGGGGCGGGCATGGGAGGGGGCATTGTGTGTACAACATTTATAACCATCCGACGGTGTAGCATGTCTTTGGTAACAGTGTCGGCCCATCATGTATAGATCAGTGTATACCCAAGGCTCGTCCTGGGTATATAGTCACTGTGGATGCCTGCACGAGTGCTCCTCAGCTGACTATCTTTCATGGCAGCGGCTCGCCCTGCCACATGACTAAGCGGCCTTTTGCGTGCAATGACGGCGCGCCGCTTTTGAGGAAGCTGCCGAAGAATGTATCATTTTCTGATTTTGTGGCCTTGCAGTCTGCAGAAACACCTGCAGACTATGCCCGGATGCTTTTGCGGGAGGAAGTGAAGGGTGCGCTTATGAAGCAGAGCGTTTGCGGCACGATCCTGGCCACGACCCAGCTGCAGCTTACGGACGGTACCAGCTTTGATTGGACGTACCTCAGACCTGCAGCCCTGCTTCAAGAGCTCTGCCGCCTGAATAAAGGGTTCGGAGAGCTGGTGAAGACCTTGCCCAAACCTTTGCGTGTGGCAGTTTATGAAGATGAACTGCGTCTTGGAAATGTGTTGCGGCCAGACCCTAACCGCGCGGTTGCCTGTCTCTACTGGTGTCTGATGGACATGCCATCATGGGTTTTGTCGCGCGAGGCTGGCTGGCACCACTTTGCAGGTTTCCCATGCACCCATGTGGCCAAGCTCAGGGCCGGCTACAGCACCCTGTTTGGTCGCATGCTAGAATTGTTCGAAACCGACATGGGGTATTTCACGCTGTTTGGCAGCGGAGTTCCATGCCAAGCGCTTTCTGGAAGCTTTGTGGCGCAAGGAACCTTCTCCGTCTTGTTGTCGGACGAAAAGGCCATAAAAGAAATGTGGGGGTTGAAGGGTGCGTCAGGCACCAAACCATGCGTCTTTTGCAAGAACATCCTTGGACACATGGCACCGGGTCTCCTTCAAGGCCACAACTACCTGTTGCACTACAGCAGCACAAGCAAGGATCGCTTTGATTTGCACACGCCGATCTCCTTCAAGATCATGGTAAAAAAACTACAGGATGCAAAAGACACTCCAGGACAACTGAAGAAATTGTGTCAGCTATACGGCCTGTCCTTCAATGAGGACGCCGTACTTTGGCACCCCACATGGGGTGGTCGCTTGTCTCCACCAACCCAGACCATGTTCGATTGGATGCACATCTTGTGTGCGTCTGGAGGGCTGGCGCAGTATGAGATAAATGAATTCCTGAAGCTTGTCAAGGACGCTGGTGTGAGCATGGATCAGGTGGATCACTTCTGCTCTGCCGTGAGTCTCCCCAAACGCTTGCCTCGCCTGGGCAAGAATTTCTTCCGAGACCGCCTGAACACAGAGCCCAATAGCTGCTTGAAGAGCTTTTCCGGTGAGATCCTGGTTGCCCTTCCTGTTCTGCGTGTCTTCATTGACGCCGTCCTTCTTCCCGCACGGGTTCTGGGCGAGCATTGCAAGTGCCTTGTGCACTTGGCGAACATCTTGAACATCCTGCAGGTGGACGCAACATCTCAGCTGGCTGCCCTCAGAGCTGAAGTGGAGGCGCACC